TCAAGGAGAGTATATGTTTTTTCAAAAGTAGTAATACAAGTAGGTCCAAGTACACTGCTGCTTTTTTTTTCAGTAAGTAATAAACTCTAAACTTGTTAGCAAGTAGTATATAAGAACTACTTCTAAATAACAAGTGTCATCCCCATGGTGAGTGATAAGCTCTGAACCTATTAGCAAATAGCATATAAGAACTATCTCTAAATAATAGACACCAGTTTATAGTTTTCGTTAGTCTTATGTTCTTCTTCTCTAACATAGTTTTACTATTTTTGTTAAAAATTTGGATTTTGAAAAGTTGATCTAAGAGATCATCGGGAAGAGTTTTGGTTTTGTTTATTTTTATTTTTTAAATATTATCAAAAAAATTTTTTATTTATTAAATATTTTAAATTTTAAAATAGGAAATTCTAGGCATCTCTGGTCAAAGATATATAATATATATATTTTTAGCCTGTAGACTAATCAAAACATACAAATATTATATGACAAAGCTTCAATCAGTAACCTGTATCTCTGAACTAAAGACTAAAGAGCTGAATCACCTTGATTGACCGCTTTGATGTACTGTGCTACTTTGATGATATACTATTGTATGCATATGCTACCTGTTATAAAAATTTTTACTAGTTACTATTACACATACAGTATATACAGTATCTATATAAATCTTTGTTTGTAAAAATATTGTGTATAACCTATTGCTATCTGACAAACAATACAAAAACTAGATATGTAAATACTTAATATACTTAGTATAAACTAAGCTTTGAATTTTTATTACATATTTAAAAGCAAGAAAAATCTTTCAAATTTTTGAACCTATTAATAAGATCATACAGCTATATAAAAATTTGAAATAAACAAAGAAATCAAATATACAACCCAATAAAGTAACAAAAGTTTCAAACTAAAGTCTGTTAGACTTAAAAAAAATTAAGGTTAATAATAGCCAAAACGCAACAAGAAGTAATATTACAAGTTTATAGTAAGGTTTTTAGTCATTTAAAAATGTACAATGATTGTACAAAAGACTAATAACTATCTATAATATTTTAAAAAGCTGCTCTGAATTAACTTACTAGCTATAAAAAAGACTATAAATCTAAAACTTTAACTTTACTAGAATCTGAAAACACATTAGAATCTAAAACCCTAACTCTACTAGAACTTGAAATTACAGAACCCAAAACTCTAACTCTACTAGAACCTGAAATTACAGAACCCAAAACCCTAATTCTACTAGAACCTAAAATAATATTAGAACCCAAAACTCTAACTTCACTAGAACTCGAAAAAAACATATTAGAATCTGAGACCCCATTGGAACTAAGTAGCTTGCTTTTTTAGTGTGATCAGAATTATGCCTCTCTTGAGGTCTTCAAATATGTCGCTGACTAATATGCTAAAACAAGTAGGTTTAAAGTGATTTTTTTAAAAGACAACAATTGTAGTAATAGCTTATGTTCTACTTAAGTTTTTGCTTGTAATTGCTATAGTATATTCAAGCCTAAACCTAAGAATCCAAATAAAAAAAATAAAAATAAAGAATCAAAAAAATATAACTGCCTCTGGTTTATTTGTTTCAATTATAATTTAGAAGATGATAAATATTATATCTCACAAGTCAATTTATGCTATAATCATTTGCTCATTCCACCCAACTAATCCACATTTTATCTGCTAACTATAAAATACTAGTCTTTATTAAAAAGGAAATTTTTACTATGAGAAAAGCAGGAATTTTAACATATAACTCTATCTAAATCATCTATTTTACTACAATAGTTAATAAATATAGTAAAAGAATTGTTTTATAGCAAATCATTATAGAAATCACAAAAAAGTTACAGGTAACTCTTTCTGACGATCCCTCATACCAAAATTACAACAAACCTTTTTTCTAAAAAACAGTAAACTATAGAAGCAAAGAGTGGCAGAAGACTGATAAAAACTATAAACCGGTACCTGTTATTTAGAGATAGTTCTTATATGCTACCTACTAATAGGCTTAGAGCTTATCACTCACCATGGGGACGGCACTTGTTATTTAGAAGTAGTTCTCATATGCTACTTGCTAACAAGTTCAG